GTGAAAAAACATATATTTAATACTTGCGCCGGGTATTTAATGTTCGGTTCCGCCCGAACTTAGACTTTCTTACTTGTTTTTTCTTAGAGTGCACTCAAGTGGGGGGCTCAACTGTCACATTTGCTGCTTCGGTTTCTTCTGCTTTTTGGCGTTTGATTTGTTTTGTTGCTGGTGTTGTTGTTGTTATTTTTCCTTTACGTAGTGTAACATTCATTTGTTCTTTGCTTTCTCTGCTATGTGTCGGCTGTCATTTCGTGTTTACTTTGCTGTCGTTTAACGTTATTCTTTGTCTTATTGTTGGTGTTTCCGGCTTTTAATTCTATTTAAATATTTTGTTGCTATTGCTGTTAAAGCCAGTTTATGCATTCACACGTTCAAGCACAATTCAATTGTCACTCAAGTCTTTGTTTACATTCGTTTGACAATTCGTCAAGTTGGCGCGTTGCGTCTGTTTGGAGTGTGTATGGCAGAGGCTTGAGATATGTGGAAGCTGGGATAAGAAAAGTGAAAAGGGTTCAAGCTTTAGAAATGGTCGTACTAAAAATTGCATAGCTTTTTAAATACTCTTCCAGTTTTATTTAAATTTTTTTTTGTGACCTCTGACCGGTCCTGTACATAGGAGACATTGATGCTTATTACCTTTACTGAGCATAGGAGACATTGATGCTTATTACCCTTACTGAAGCCACACACTGAGAAGTGTGTCTGTTGTTTCTTTAACGGCAGCCACTTCTGTTTGAACCACGCTATCGCAGTCCGGAACCCTAGACTTTGTGTTTATAGAGAACTCATGGTACCCGTAGTGACTGCGGTTTAGCTGCAATTTCTACCGAACGAGAACTCCAAAAAACCTAACAGGCTTAACTATAGAATCGTAGAGTCGAAAGATTACTTACGGCTCCCCTGCAGAAATATTAAGCATCTGATCCCTTAGTCATTACGTCCAGGTTCAAATACTTAACTCTGTTAGAAACTTTCATGTGAGCATTTCCGGTTGCGTGGGAATGTGGATCTTGTACTTTCTGGTGAATAATACCAGCTCGGTTTTACCAGAGTAAGGTTACGAGGCCGCTGTTTGCCGTACATTTGTAATAAAACTTTGATAACCTTGGGTGGGATTGTATGAAGCCGCCAAAAATGTACCCTTATCCATAAGTGAACTCTGTGTAGCTAGTCACCAAGACCAAGTCTAGCAAGTTTATGATGCGCAGTGGTAAGGGAACCCAAGTTAGAGGGGTGCCTCTGTTCACTCTACACTGTAAGCAAGCGCTGTCCTACTCAGTTAGGACAGTTCTGTAGTCTGCAGATGAGCTCCTTTACGGGTTTCGTCCGCGAGTAATTTAAGTATTAATAAAAATCTGGCGTAGTACGCCCTTCGTTGGTTTCAGTGCTGGCCCCAGCGCGTGACTGCATTGGCATTGCAACCAAGTAAGAAATTGCTGCCAGTCTTTATGGGCGTTTGATCTTTTACAGCGGATTTCTGATATGGCTTGTGGGCGTATGATATAAAGAAGTTGCGATCGTTCGTCGTCTGCAGTGAGTGAATAATAATATCTGAGGAGTTTTTATTTGATATACAGCGGCATAAAATCCTAAACGACCATCCATGCACCCTGCAACTTCCATGTCCCTGAACCATGGTTCCCGGATTAAGGATTCATGGATGTGTTTTTCCCCTCGGGAAATCAGCATTGACATAATTGTCGCAGCGAAGTGGGACGGTGCCACCGTCTACCGCAGAGTGAACAGGGGCAAGCCCCAGGGTGTTTTCCCTCAAAACTTCTCTGTATTGTGTTCGTAAACGACCTACTAGAAGAGTTAGTGAGGAGGGGGTGCCTAATTGGAATCAGTGGTGCGCTTAGGACCACTCCCACTGGCGGCAGTCACACTTAGGGGTACTGGCTGCATGCCGAACTCGGCGTATGGTTACTCTAGTATTCTTGGGGGCTTTGTCAGACTTTTCTGGGTGCCAGGCCATAGGATATCACAGGAAACTGTGCGGATGATTAAATGGCTTTGGGAAATTATCGTCAAGAAAAAATACAGTGGTAGAACCGAGTCGGTTTTAGCATGCATAGTTTTAGCCTAGATCACCCTAATCGTTCATGATTTTCTCGGAAATAATGTCTTCTATCGATTCATATAGTCCAGCGATTGGTTTGTGTTTATGGCTTCTGCATTAGGAATCGGTTCATTTGTATGAAATATTCAAGGGACAAAATGATGACAACCCTACTTGAGTGCTCAAAATACTCGCTGTTATTCACAACAGGTAAGACAAGACTCCGCCCTATTGGTCGTTTTTTTCATGCTGCTTTCTGCTTTGCTATTGCCAAATGCGGCCCATGGATCTTCTAGTTATTCCTCCGGCTAAGAACAGTGTTGTATTCGAGCCCTTCTATGGATCTCCTAGAGAACACATATATCCATTTATAAATAATCAAAGAGTTGCTAAAGCCAAATTCCGAAAAATAATTTTCGAGTGAATAAAATAAGTACGCAGGTAGTTCGTCGACGCCTATCCGCACAGCGAGTTTGGACTCCATATCCCGACCTTCCTTCACTGAACGTACTTGCCCCTGCCTGAATCTCCACAGATGAGGACAACTTGAAGTTGGTCCCAGGCGATGCTTCGTCGATGATTATTCTTCATAAGGCAAATGGGTTTGTAACCAATTGATTTTGGCTCTCTTTCGCATTGGTATAAGGTGAATTTGTCCTTGGACTTTTATGCTTGATTTCTTCCGACACCCGCACCAATTGTTTAGTGTGGTTTTTAGTTTTTGCTTTTCTGCTAATCCTTTCTCTGTTCCCTCGAATATGGTCACAACGCCTCGCCTTCTGTAAACGCCAAAGTAGAGTCGGTTTTATACAACCGACAACCAATCTTTTCCGAAAGTGGGTAGGGCCGTCGGTGTGGGCATTGAATAATTTAGCCAGTAGCTAGATCTTCAGATGTAACGCTGTACGCAGTAGACTTCTTAGTCACGCAATGGGATGGATTTGATGATATGTTTCGACACAGCTAAGTAGGCAGTGAGACACTGAAGACCATCTCTGGGTGAATTTTTTATGAAATTTCCTCTTAAGGGGGGTGGAACCATGCAAATTTGGTCTCTAAATTGCACGCCTTCCCCCCATAATGACGTCGCAAAATTAATTATTGAAAGGTCTTTTACTTGGATGCATGGTTTCTTTTCAAATTAGCTACATAAATGCTTAAATATCCGAAATGCATCGCATCAAAAAACATTCGCAACATGTTGCTTGAGCGTGAGAAATGTTGCTGCAGCACTCAATCGAGTCTCCCCCACACGCACGCACGTCCAACACACAAAACATTGCATTTATTCGATTGAATACAAAAGACTGCCACGTGCTGTTGAGACAACAAACAAATAATATGTTGCATGCCACACCAAATTTACGATAATAACGAGCCATGATACAAACAGAGCGCGCATGTTGCCGGCTGTGCGACGTTGCCAGGCGAGAGTGAAAATGCGCAAGGTGGAGTGCGTGGGGCACTCTCTCGCTCCCGATTGCAATGTTTTGAAAATTTGTTTGTGCTTCCAAGTCACATGTGTTTGTGCGATGCGTGTGTTCAGTGCAGGAAAATACTTCACTGCTTGCATTGCCAAACGAATGCCAACCGACCAAGAAACAAAACGAAGCAACTGAGCAGCATGCCTTCGCTGGTCTAGCCGTTGTGCCACAGCAATTCAGTAGGAAATTCAACTCCGACGGAAACGGAACCAAACGGAACGTGAAATGCGAAATGTGAAGTGAGTGAAAGAAATGTACTGTTATTGTACTAAGTGATGGTAGTGGTTTCGGTTGTGTATGTGAGGCAGCAGCAATGGATGTGCGAAGATATTTGGGGCGGTGGAGTGCGCGTTTCAGCCGCTGGCAATAAATATAATACCATTATGAGTGAATTTAATTAAAATGGTTTAGTAGAAAAAAAGAAGTGATTTTGCGGAACAGTAAAAGTGCAGGTAGGGGGGAAAATTGAAAATTGTATGGAAAAAAGAACAAAATTATCGTCAATTTGGTCTGCTTTTGATTGCTTCAAATATAAAATATCATAAAAATAATAACAAGTAAACACATTTCTAGTACAACTAAAGAAGAAAATGCTTGAACACAACTAATCGCTCAGACAAAAGTGGCGAACAAATAAGAAATAAAAACAAGAATTAGTTAATTTTATAGTCAGTCCCAGACTAAAGGATTGAAAAATTTAAGGACTTCAGTGGCAATTGATTCAGATAAAATTCGTGCAAAATCCGATAAATAAAATTAGGCTTTCACATAAAAAAATATGGTTTAAAGAAATATTTGAAAGTAAAGTTAGATTAAATAATCTTGCAATTTTAAACTTCGTGCAATATCAAAGTGGATTAGTTTTATATGTTACTGATTTTTTTATGAAAATAAAGTAAATAAAAATTACAAACTTCGATTTTGACAACCTCGATTTGCTCTACAGCAGTCAACAATCCAAGACAACTAGACTGGAATAGCTTCAAGTCACAAAACGCACAAGAAATGGATAAAAGGTGGGATGCAAAAAAAAATAATAATAATAATCTGAAGAAAAGAATTTCTTAAGAATTTTTGATAAATAATAATGCAATTATTTACATACTTAATTTTATAAACTTTATGTAACTAAGCCGAAAGTAGGCTTAACTTTTATGGACTTTACTGATGTGAACTTACTTCACTACTTAAATACATATAGATCTGTTTTTTTTTTAACAATTGTTGTTATAATTCTATTCTTCAATCTATGAAAAAAGTTTCTTTATGGACAAAACATCACTTATCCAAGTTTAATTAACTGTGGCAAGCATTTGCTGCACCAATAATACTATACCAATATAGCATCTCGAAAATAAGCTACACACATCAGAGTATTTGTATAATAAGTGTCTTTATATTACTTCTCACGCTATATAACCGAGCTATTATTGGGCAGTAGGGTGGTCTAAAAATATGTGCGGTAGAGTAAAAAGCTTAAAATATTAAGCTCTCACCCCCTAGGATGATTTTTTTTTTGTTTAAAGAAAAAAGGAGATATTTGGAACTGCCTCAAAGCCCATGAAGTTTTGATAATCAAAACTTTTCGATTGGAAAAGAATACCCAATTGTTTATTAACAATTTTTTAATATTAACTATTTTTTATAGGTCGCCAAAAAACCCCAAGAAGTGCAATGAGGGACCCATATAAAATTATTAGGATTAAAAAATGGTAAAGCTAATACTTGGGTATTATTATTGGAAGTATCCTGAAGAGGAACAGAGTTTTCCATTGCTACAAAAAAGTGTTGCTTCTTAATTTAAAATACATGGACAGCTTCATGTGCTTTGCAGCAGTTCTAAATGTAATTTTTTTAACAACAAACTACGGGTATTCTTTTTTTCATTTACAAAAGTCCTAGGGCTGAGTGCTTAACATTTAAAATTCTTGTTTTTTTTTGGACCACCCTAATGGGTAGCCATACAAGTCCCCATTTAAACTTGATCTTTGACGTATATCAAAGAGAACATAGTCCTTTTATGATAAATTTTTGGTTTCATTTTCTGTGTTTTAAATTGCTGCATTTGTTTCTTTCTATATTAGGTTTTCTTTGTGGACCAATCTTAAAGAAACTACTAGACATGAAAGAAGAAATTGTGCACTATAATTATAAAACATATTTTCGTGATTTCCATTGGTTGTTTTTGTTTTTCGTTTCATCATATGAGCTCTTTGGGAAATTTATTTTAGCAAAAATTTCAAAAAACATTAGGTTTGTGTACCTGTGGAGCTTTGCCGGGCAATATTTTTTCCATAGCGATGTACTAAATTGGATCCTTGACTACAAACTTCTGTTGAAAAACTATCTCCATACGTCCTTCTTCCTTTGTTGTTTAAAGTCATAGTGTATGATCCTTCTAAGGGAATTTCAAGCAAAAATAAGTATTCAAGGTCTTGTTGTAAAGAGAGTCGATGCTGAAATAATAAAAAAAGCTCTAGGTTTGACCTCTAATTACGATTACGTCGTACAGTTTGGTCGGTTAGTGGTAGTGTTGCCTGTTCAATGGCCCAGGATACAGTTAGTGACGCAAGCACCACTCCGCTGGCTCGTAAATGTCGTGCGAATGAAGGCAAACGCTCTAGTCCAGAAAGTATTTCAAGCGGGTCGGGATGCTGGTAACAAAGAAAGAAGAAGGCGTTAGAAATAAAAGGTGGAGAAGGACTTGACTTCACTTGGTGTTTCCAATTGGCGTCAGTTGGCACAGAAGAGAAACGATTGGCCTGCTTTGTGGGCCTCGACTTTGTGGTTACAGGCGCCAATCAAGAAGAATAACAAGATATAAGTAACTATTTTAAGATTTATATTGCCCTACATTGTTGAATCTAAACTTTTACCTTTCAAGTAAATATTATTTAACAAACTCCCTTATTTTCTGTAAAACAAAGTAGTCAAATCAAATCCCTAGCCTGTGAGTGCATCAAAGGAAGACCATTTCCTGAGAGCGCCGTCCCCCCCGTGGTGATGTTAAGCATGACTAGAAAAATCCAGGATAGAAGATATTGCAGTCTACTTACTCATGCGGGGGGTAAAACACACAACTACTTAGTAAATAGCATACAAAAAAATAATACAAAAAAATGTATCCTTCTGTGAGCTCAGTGGTATCACACACAGCACGCCATTGCCGGTTGGTGACAAAGCTTTTAACAGCCTTCAATCTGAACTAAGGGAATATGCGGAACATGCGGAAATCACGCAGTTCGCTTTGTTTGTAAATTTTTTTAGTACTCTTTCACTACTTTTATATAAATAAACTACTACAATGATTTTTATTCCCATTTTGTCTTTTACTATTCTTTCTTCTACTTTGATTTGATTTGGTCTTTGTTGTAATTGCAGTTGTCATTCACCTTGCCGTTTTGTTGACTAAAGGACTCACAATTCACTATCCATCCATATGGCCTGCTTAGGCGTAATTAATTTCGTTGTCATGGCGGCGCACGTAATCCTTAGACACTTTTGTGTATGCGTGTGTGTACTGATGTACACATACATATTTGTGTGTGAATGAATATTCGTAGCACAACTTAAAGCAAAACTATATGTAAACAACAATATGTAAAACTTTGTTAGTGAGGCTTTCGAGCTACAACCAGCGAACTGCTAGCGGTAGAATTGAATTGCCCAAGTATAAACGCCCACTGTGCTCTACTGGTCTTTTACAGTTAGATATATGAACAAGAGCTTGTTGGCATATTGTCACTTGGGTGGGCGTCTATGTGCAAAGTTTTAACATATCAACCGATGCTTGTTCATAGGAATGTATGTATATACCTACATTAGGGTGTCCCACAATTTAATATTCCAGCCGACTTCTAAGTTTTCCATTAATTTTATATGGGAAAAATATTTTTTTTTCTAGAAATGCTATAAAATTTTTAAAAATAAAGACTGTTTGATAGAATAAAAATATTTGACTTTGAAATTTAAAAAAAAAAAAAATATTTTGATACAAATTTAACTTAAAAATTTGCCAACTATTTTTTCATAAGCGTTTATCGCATCTCTTATATACAAAAATTTGTTTTTAGCGTGTAGTTTCTAAATAAAAATATTTTTATTCGATCCAAAAAAATAATTTTTGAAAATTGTACAGCAATTCTAGGAAAGCAATGTATGTTCTCCATATAAAATATATGGGATTTGAGCCCCGGAAGCACGGTTTAATATTAACCGATTTAAAAAAAAAAAACAAAAAATCGGGTCTCCTTATTTTCCATCTAAATATGTATCTACGATGTCCATACACACTCGTACATATATAAATCTGTATCAACATATCGTGTATGTATATGAAAATGTTAAAATCGTTTGTTCGGCAGGCAAAAACTCGAAAACGGCTTGAGCGATTTGAGCAATCCCTTTGTTCGCTATAAATTTCGCATGATTTACAAGCATGTGTAAAAAAATGGAGTGCCCTCACCTGCTTTAAAATTTTTGATTAATTATATGGATAAAATATATTACAATTTGGGTATGAAACTAAGGAGGTTTTGAGAAAGCGTAACTGAAAAAATATTTTTTAAAAGGGCTGCCACATGTTTCTCAAATTTAATCCAATTAAAGGTAAATAACATATTATTACACCATAAAATTATATTACACTATAGGTACCAGACTAAAAGGGCTTGATAAAACTTGATTTCCAAAAATTTTTGCAGATTGTTGCCACCTGTTCGAAAAATTTAATTTAATTCATAAGGTAAATGAAATGTTACAAAATGTGTGTATTAAAATAAAGTGGCTTAGGAAGGCTTATTGTTTAGATAAATGAAATCTTACAATTTCGGTATCCAACGAAAGGTATTTACGAAATCTTTGGTTAAAAAAAAATATTTTTCAATAGTGTTGTCTGTCGCCTAACTAAAAAGTTAAAACTAAAAATTTAAAATTAAGTAAATGAAATAATAGAACTGATTTATTATCAAATGAATTGTTCAAAAATTCTTTGATCTCAATATTTTTCAAAAAGGTACTAATTTTTAAGCTGAGGATTGAAATGTTAATTACGAAGTGTTTACGGAACAAAAAATATTAAAAAAGCTAGTCATAAAAACGGAAAAAATATTAAAAACTCAAATGAAAGCTGTTTAAAAAGTCCTTGATGGAAACTTAACATTGTTGTCACCAATTTATTTTTAATATGGTCTAATCAATAAAACTTTTAATATAAATAATTACGTTTGGGATGGCCAAAGTCTGGCACGCATGTTACAAAGGTAGACAATTTGTGGAATTTGGCGTTGGGTTTTTAATTATAAAATATCTGTTATTCTTTTAAGGCAGGTTAATTATAGAAGTGTAATCTAATAATAATAAATTGGCGCTTACACAAATGTTAGTGGTCGGCCGAGCTTATTCTCGGCCAAGCGTTATCTACAATACTTAAAAAAACTTACGGCGTTTTCTTTTCTACCGAATGATGTTGCTTTCTCATTGCCCTCTGTGCGCAAGTATCAAGATCTTCTAGTTATTCCTCCGGCTAAGAACAGTGTTGTATTCGAGCCCTTCTATGGATCTCCTAGAGAACACATATATCCATTTATAAATAATCAAAGGCTTGCTAAAGCCTTGAATAAAATAAGTGTGCAGGTAGTTCGTCGTCGCCTATCCGCTTAGCGAGTTTGGACTCCATATCCCGACCTTCCTTCACTGAACGTACTTGCCCCTGCCTGAATCTCCACAGATGAGGACGACTTGAAGTTGGTCGCAGGCGATGTTTTGTCGATGATTATTCTTCATAAGGCAAATGGGTTTGTAACCAATTGATTTTGGCTCCCTTTTGCTCTTGTATAAGGTGAATTTGTCCTTGGACTTTTATGCTTGACTTCTTCCGACACCCGCACCAATTGTTTGGTGTGGTTTTTAGTTTTTGCTTTGCGGGTAATCCTTTCTCTGTTCCCGCGAATATGATCACAACGCCTCGCGTTTTGTAAACGCCAAAGTAGAGTCGGTTTTATACAACCATCAACCA